TTGCATTCATGCAAAATACAGTTTAGAGATAGAAATGCATTAGGGTGATTGTGAGGTTGGGGTTAGTTGCATTTAGGAAAAATGCAGTTTAGGTAAGAAAATGCGTCAGGATGATTTTTAAGTTTATTGCATTTACGAAAAATGAGCTTAGTTTCATTGACGAAAAATTCAGTTAAGATAAGAAAATACATTAGGGTGATTTTTGAAGTCTTTGGTTAGTTGTTTTTATGCATAACGGAGTAATGGTAAAGAAAATTTATTAATAAGATTTTTGAAGCGTCTGTTTAGTTACATTTATGAAAAATGCAGTAAGTGTATTAGGGCGATTGTTGAAACCCTTGCTGCTTTGCATCTATGAAATAATCTGCAAAAGTAGAAAGGGCATTATTATGTTGAAACGTTTCCTGCATTTCCTCTATGAATATGCAGTAAACGCTACAAAATGTATTGGGACGTTTGTTAACGCATGTGTTACTTGCATCTATGAAAAAGTGCAGTAAATATATAAGGCGGATTGTTTAAAACTTTTCAGTTATGAAAAATACAGTCAAATACAAAAATGCAGCTGGGTGATTTTTGAAACGTGTCCTGAGTTGCATCTATGAAAAAAATGCAGTAAACCTAGGAAAATAAATAAGGGTGATTTTAGAATTAGGGGCTTTGTTTCATCCTTAAATAAATAGCGTAAAATAGAAAACTGTCTTCCATTGTTACTTAATATACAATATGTATAATTAACAGCTCAAATCTACTGGTATTTAAGAGGGCATTCAGTTCTGTAATTCCACACAGGAATAACTTATTTATGTTATTAATGCATTTTTCTTGAAACATAAGTTTCATCTATATTTTAACATAGAACTGAACGAATCAATTGAATGTGAACGGGGTAAATATCAACAAGGAAGCTTTTAAAAAAATGGTAGTAAAAGGACACCTGTACTTAGAATAAGAAAAAGGACAGTCGAAATTCTTGAAACTCTTAATGAGGAAAGAGAGCTTGGAGAATTTGACTCACAAGGTATGCCGAAGGCAAAAGGTGAAAACAGAATCTGAGGGTAACATACACATTACGTACTTGTGTCATCCGAATGGCAGAATAGTAGAAAGTATTACTTGGAGCTGCAAAGAATAGGAGGTTGTGGAGAGCCATGGTCTCCCACGTGAGAAGGCCCATGACACATAAAAGAATGAGAATTAGCAGACCTGATTTCGTCAGTACAATAATAAAATGATTTTAACGCCTTGCCAGCTATTTTTTCATCTATTTAACAAATTTTGCTTGGTAACGTATAACATTTTTTTATAGATGCGAAACTTAAAAAGAAACGACAAATAACCTTGAAATTGCGTTGGAATAGAAAGCTTTAGCTTATGGAAAATAATATATATTTAAATTAAATATACATTTAACTTAAAACAAACTAATTTCTTTTAATCAGATGTAAATTCTCTGATATTAAATCGAAATTCATAATGGATCTGTAATTTTATTTTAAATAATTGAGATGATGTTTCATTCTGCTAAAACAAACTCGACATAGAATTGAAATATTTTGAATTTTACTTCCAGTACTGAGATCAAGCGATATCGATTTGTAAAGAAAGGAAATTCAATTTCTATTCCATAGAAAATACTGTTTAAGAAATCGTTTTTTTTTTCTTCTTGTTTTCTTTATGAAAAGTCGTCTTTTTTATTGTTCTTTCTTTCAGTGTTTATCAATCCATTCGCAATCATTTTTGAATGTAGGACGGTCTCCTCAATGATGAAGAAGAGACTCGAGGCAACGGAGATATGGTTCTACAGAAGGATGCTAAGGATATCATGAACCGAGATTGCGAGATTTTGGAGAGGATGCAAACAAGGAGGAAGCTTATAATTAACATCAGGAAGAGGCAGATGAAATTCCAGGGACAAGCAATAAGAAAAGAGGGCTTGGAGAATCTGATACTCACAAGTCGAGTAGAGAAAAAGAGAGACAAGGGAAAGCAACGCAGGACATACCTAACGGACTTAAGCAAATAGATGACAGAACGTAGTTGGGGAAGGTGGTAGAACTTATTGAGAGCTACAATGGATGGGCGAAGTGGAGAGCCATGATCGCCTACGTCCTGAATGTGTTGTTCGGGTTATTATCTTCATTTTTGTTGTATTGTTCACTACATTTCACTCAATAATCCTACAAGCTTCCTCGTATGAAACATTCAACATATTGTTTTATTCCTGTGACATTGTATGTATAAAAGAAAGGGAAGTAACTTAAAGTTAACTATTAAGAAGAAGACACTATTTTGTTGTATTTTTCAATAAATTTATGCGTTAAGTGTTAAGGGGTCCACCCCTTTTTTATATACAAGTGGACTCGCCCAGTGTGTACTTGTACTGCTGCCGGTGAATAACCGGGAGTGAGAGAGTGAAACAGTCAGACTGTGAGAGAGTGAGAGTGAGAGTGTGAGGTAACCGCTTTGTAGGAGTCACAGTTGCGAGCACGTAGACTCAGAATGAAGTCATACTTCGATACTGAATTTCCCAGACTGTATATATATTATTATTGCTACTAACCGCATTTCTGGATCTACTAACCGTATTACCAATTGTATTATTACGTCAATACATTTATTTTCTATATTTCATTCCTGCGTTTGTCATTCATTTGAGACCAGATTTCATCCCGGAATCCACAACAGTAAGCAAACATTTGTTTAGATTATCTTTGTATAAAATCTGGATATGCAGGTACTGAGGCGATTATTTGTTCGGAAATTGAAATTAGATTGGTATGCCGAGTTCAGATTGGAGCCGAGACTATGGCGTTTGCTTTGAAGCCCAATTTATAGTAATATTCACCCAATAAAAGTCTTGAGAGCCACTCAAGTTACAGTGTTACTGTCAGAATTATTATAATGAATGGGGTAGGTAAAATGAACAAAACAGGACGTATAACGAAGTAAAGATCATGGAGGTAAAGAGGATAAATAATCGTTGGCTCTTGAGTTGCAGAGATTAAGAATATAGAGTTCTGGGAAGCATCCACACGGGAGTCTGCTCCACAAAGTTTTTGGGAGAAAGCTGTTTGAGTGGAACTTACTTCTTAAATATGGGCGAAAGGAGGAGGATTCGACCGTGGATTTTTTTTATAGTGTGTCCTTGCTTTAAAGGAACTAAGGAACTGAGACCATCTGAGGCTTTGCTATGAGAATAGTTATGGTACAATAATAGGATTACAATGATGTGTCTTTCGGAAAGAGGCAGCAGAGAGAAGAATAAGAATTCTTCCATAAACGATTTTGAAGGCTATCAAGTTTGGATAGAGAAGATTTAGTGCAGGCATGGGTAAACGTAACCCACAATAAAACGAACTGTCAAAAGGACGTTTTTTCCAATCACACCGCTTTTTTTTTTAACTACCTTCCCTCTTTGGCAATGTTTATTGTTTTATAAAGCAATGATTAGAATTGGAATAAAGCTTAAACAGAAAGTGTTTTTTTTGTTCTTGAGAATTTACAATAAAATATTAAACATTGATTATTTATTAGATAAGTCTTATTTCAATTTATATTTAATTCAAGTGATTTCTTTTCTGGATGGATATAAACTGTGTAAAAAGTGTCCGAATGTATTTTCAAATTAAAAGAAAAAATCCCATCTCTCTAGAAAAGTATATAAAAATCTACACATGCAAATAAAATTAAATAAAACAATCTTGATAACTGCTGACAGAATAGCCTAAAGAGTTCGGATATATAGAATATTAGCCACTTTTTTTACACACTTTGTCCAAAAAAGAAATCAGCTATACAAACTGAAGAAATATTGAATCAAAATCGGAGTACCAGTTGTCTTTAATGAATATTGTATAAGAGATATTGCTATCCAACTACACAATATATATATATATATATATATATATATATATATATATATATATATATATATATATATATATATACGTATGTATATATATATGTGTGTGTGTGTGTGTGTGTAAGTGAGTGTTTCTGTCGTCTTACCCCCTCTTACTCCCTACAACTGACAAATTAAAAAATATCACCAACTATATGATGATAGATATATGCAAAATGATAAAAAAATACCCTGACTAACATGTAAGTCTCACATCACAAACTAAGTTACTGCAAATATTTCTAATAAAATTAGATATTATAAGCTGAAATTCGTATGGTTTATTTATTATATAAGTATGTCTTGGCTTATGTAGGCATATTGGAATAGCAAAATAAGCCTTCAAAAGCTAAGCAAAGTATTAAGCAACGGGAAAATTTTATTGGTAACAAAGAAAAAAGTACTGAATTGTTACATAATTTCAGTCCACTTATCTGGCAGTGAATGCTGAACAATTAATTCACAGATGAAGAAGAGACTTGAGGCAACAGAAATGAGGTTCTACAGAAGGATGCTGAGAATACTATGGATTAAAAACGTGAGTAACGAGGAAGTTGTAAGGAAAATGGAAGCATAAAGGACACTTATACTCAGAAGCAGAAGGAAATTCCTGGAAGACATAATAAGGAAAGTGGGCTTGGTGAATTTGCCATTCAAAGAATCTTGCAATCATATATTGAAGTCAAAAAGGAGACAGCGAGACAGTGAATAACCAGGCTAACGAGCTTTTGTAAATCCTTCTCAGATGGCAGCGTGTAAGAGTAGTAATTAAATAAGGTAAAAATGTTAATGCCTACAAAGGAGAGAGACCTAAAGAGAACCACGATTTTCTACATCTAGAAGGATGCTAAGAAGAAGAAGAAGAAGAAGAAGAAAGAAGGAGAAGAAGAAGAAGAAAGAAGAAGAATTATTATTTTAAATTATGCGTAGTTTATATTTGCATGCCAGTATATATACTGTATTCTTGAGTACCCATGACATAAAAAAATGAGAACTTATTTTTTTATGCTCTGCCGTTATTTTGTTGATAATTGGTTTCAGTAAACGGAAGATTATTTACTAAACGAACTCTGTTTTTCGCGTTTCTTGCATTTTTATGGCGCCAAAATTCTCATTCGTCCTTCTGTTGAGTTGTTCTTCTGTTACTTGTCGAAGAAGTTCTTCCATTCACATTCTCATATTTTCTCTTCTTGCATTATTCAGTGGAATCTCAGTTCATAAATTTAATTCATTCCTGAAGGCCGTTTGTAACCCGAAATTTTCGTAAGCCGAAAGTATTTTTCCAATAGGAATCAATGTAGAAAAAAGAAAAGTCACAGTACAACAAAACTGGAAAAGAAAAGCACGCCACAACACACGAATGTATACAAGATGGCGGTCGACTCAGAAATGATTTCGTTCGGTTTAACTCGGTTCGTCTATGTTGTTCGATAACCAAATTTTGTTCGATAACCGAAGTATTTCATCTCGAATTTTCTGTTCGAAAAGCGATTTGTTCGCCGTTCGAGAATTGAGGTTGCACTGTATTCTTCCTCTGTTTCATTTAGATTCCTTTCAGCTACTCGTTCTCTCATCGCAAATCTTTTTGCATTAGCTTCTCCCACCGTTTAAGTTTGTCATCATTATATTACTTTCCCTCTTTCTCTCGCCGATATGCTCTCCACCTATTACCATCTCCTTCTGTCGCTTTAGTTCGCCTCGAGTCTCCTGCCTTGTGTTCTTATTGCCTCACAGTGTCCCTACGATGTCTGTAAATATTTTTACCTCCCACAGTTCCTCTGTCTAATCCTGACATAGGCGTAATCGCTGCTTTTGTGTTCGCTTTCGTTCTAATCTCCTCCTTTCTTCAAGGGAATTTTCCAATTTAATGAAGTTCACTGAACAAAATTTTCTTAAATGCACAAAACAATGTAAAACATACGGAATTATTTAAATTTAATTTTATATTTATAGAGCAAGTTTGTGCTGAATCTTGGATACCAATGTAAAACTAAAATGTATTTAAAAATATGAGAACTTGTAACTATAACTACCATATTAATACTAAATCTTTAAGGTTATTCAATTATATATTTAGATGGAAAGAGCGTGTTCAGTCTAGGATAACATAATTCACGTATTCATATAAAATATAGTGACTGGTATATTTTAGGCGGCAATGTTAATAAAAACCTTGTGATGTAAAGGTGTTCCAATAACTTGGACTGATCTTAATGTGAATTAAGCTTAAGAGTGTAATGATTTTTTTTCCTTTACTTTCAGATTTGGCGGATATTTGCGCGATATTTTTTCACACATAATTGGCATGACTTAGACGACATGATCCAATAGAGAAATACATTTTCACCAATAACACGGAGTTATATACTGCTGACTTAGATTCGTCTTAATGAACACGCTTGTATATAATCCGTCTTAATGAAACACCCTTTATTTGTTTGAATGTAATTGTTACTTGTAAATAAATCCTTCTTATTACCGTTTATATTTCAGTCTCATTAGGCCCTAAGATGAGACAGGAAATATATAAATGAATATACATTGATGATTATTAATATATGAGTGAGGACAAAATTCTTTATATTATATAACGTTAACAAGAAAATATTGCTGTCTTCTTTTATGAAGAAAATATAGAGTTATCTCCCATTATTAAATGGGACAGGAAATATATGAATAAATAGACATTGATAATTATTATATGGGGTGATGTAATATTTTTCACAGAACCCATTGTTATTACACTGGTTCAAAGCAAGGAAGTAATACTTTGATCTTTTGGTACACATGTCGATCCATATGTAACTAGGCTTTTTTTTATTTTTGATGGGTACTATACTATTATGTTTGAAACATCGAACTTTTCAGACAATGATTAGAACATGACACAACGCAAGAGAAGATAACGATTCCAGAAACCCTTATGGAATTACATTGGCAAATACCCACACATTTCATTCGCTGTTCCTTTGCTTATTGACTAACACATGGGGGTCTGGCACTTTAGTAGCATATTAGAAAGGGACAGAAATTAGGTACGAGAGACACAGAGAGAGAGAGAGAGAGAGAGAGAGAGAGAGAGAGAGAGAGAGAGAAATATAGAAGTAGGGCAGACTGACGTGTGGTTAAAATAGGTGCATTCCTGGCGGTCAAGTTTAATAGCTCGAACTGGAATACAACCCATAATATGAAATGCTTATATATCGCGCTTTCTAAAGAATTCCGTAAATGAGTTCTTGCCTGGGGATTAAATTGTCACTTCTCGGCCTTCTGCTTAGTATCAGATTAGTATCTTTGCAATTTGATTCTTCCTTGACCAGCAACGCATCTATGATTTCTATCGCTATATATAAATTGATATTTTTCGCCTATTTGTATAGGATCATTGTAGAATTTATGCTATCCACCCAGGATTAAAGGGTCACTTATGGACACTTAGCCTAGGAACAGCGTATTATCGTTACTTTCTATTTAAAATTATGGGGTTATTTCTCGACAATCTGTCTAGGATCAGCGTAGAACCTGTGTTTTTACTTTAAGATTAAAGTGTAATTTCTAGGTTTTCTGCGTTGTATCTGTGGTTTTGTTTTCAGATTAAATAGTTGCTTAGAGGTACTGTCTCCCAAGGATAAAAAATCTAATATATCAAATGTCTATCTAGGATCAGCGTAATAGTTGTAATAGCAATGTCTTTAAAGATTAAAGTCATACTTCGCATACCTCTTATTGGTTCAGTCTAGAATCTTTGCTCTCATGCTACGATTATGATACACATTACCCTTCGTATCACCAATGACTAGTAGCACTAGTATTAAACTGTCAATTCTAAGCCATTCTACCATGATAACACTCGTATCGCTGAGATCTCCTTTATATTATGTCATTTCTCGTCGTTCTACTTAGGATCAGCTTAGTATCTATTCTCTTTCCCAAGTATTAAAGAGTAAATCCTCAGCCATTTTACTAAAAATAACCTTAGTATATGTACACCGATTGGATGCCGGTTGAGGAAAGAACTTTGGCCTCACTTCCGCTGAATCAGTGTGTGAGCGGAAATCGTAACTGGTGATAGCATAAACAGGAAATGCATCCGGTGGCTAAAATAAACAGGGCGAAGGAAATGCGTGCACACGTGATCACATGCCAGATGAAGCGTGGCCACACGAAATTGTGTAGGCGACATAGAGGAAGAAGGTGTCGGCACGTGAAGTGGCGTAGGTGTCCAAATGTTATTTAACCGGTCCGATTCTTGATCGGGACAGAGAAGTTGGCTAGAGGTTCACCGAAGATTTGTCTCCGTCAGTTTCTGTGTGCACAGTTCTAACCGCTGGGATTCTCCCTAACTCTATCTATCTATCTATCTATCTATCTATCTATCTATCTATCTATCTATCTATCTATGTACGTATATATATATATATATATATATATATATATATATATATATATATATGTGTGTGTGCCTTCGTGTGTGTGTGTGTGTGTGTGTGTGTGTGTGTGTGTGTGTGTGTTTGTCGCAGCAGTGATATAATATACACTTTCCTTAGTGTAAAAATGCCAGTTCCTAGACTTCAGCGTTGTATCCAGTTTATAACCCTAGTGTTAAACTGTGAATTCGAAGCCATTCTGCCAATGATTACCGTCGGATTGATGAGCTCTCCTTTTTATTAAAATGTCATTTTTAAGTCTTCTGCTTAAGATCAGCTTAGTATCTCTTCTGTATCCCTAATATCTATGCGTCTTCTTTAGTATTAAGATGTTAGTTCTTGGTTTTCAGCTTTGTATCTCTTCTTTAGAATTCGCTCTAAAAATTGGTCAGTTCAATGACAAGCCTAGTATCTGTGCGCTCTCCATTGTATTAAAATATCATTTCTCGACTTTCTGCTTAGGATTAGCGTAGTATCTGTGTGCCCTCCGTAGGATTAAGTTTATTTTTTGGTCTTTTAACTAGGATCAGTATAGTATGTATGCCTTTGTATCTTAGCCCCATTCTTTGACCATCTGCACAGGATCAAAATTCTATCTTGCCTACTTAGTATTTGCAAGTTTATTTTATCGTGTTGTCCAAGCAGCAGAAAGATTCCCTTGTGAATCTGCCAATTGTATGTTTCTCTTCTGGTTGGAAAAGTATTGGGTTCACTATTTACATTATTCCAACACATGGCACAGTTGATAACGACGCTAGTTTGATCCAGTGACAGGACTCAAAGAGTGTGAGTTCAATGCCCGGTTAAGACAGTGGAGAACTTGGAGAGGGGAATTAACAGGAGATAACTGATAACTGGCATCCATTAGACATGTCACGTGGAACTAGAACAGTCTAAATGAGTGAGCGAAATAAAGGGTTCAGTTCGACATTCCAACCACCTGAAGAAGGTCGGAGCGTACAACGCCCGAAACGTTGTAATAAATATGGCGACAAAGATGAGGACAATAGTCCGAATAATGTAAATGGTGTAAATAATACCTCATCTCAGAAATATAGACAGATACTGAAGGATTGGGTTCATTTAATTTTATTATTTACATTATTGACATTCGGACTGAGGACGACATCTTGCTACTACGCCAACATTTCGGTCGTTCGTCCCTTCAGTTTTTATTAGGTGTGTTTTCTTTCGGGTAAACTTTAGGGAATTTTTTAACTGATCCCTTTATTTATTCTACGAGAAATAATTGTTCCCGTTCCGCTATGAATATTTCGCTTTGTTCTTATTTAGTACTACTCAGGTTTTTATTTTGTTCTTATTTAGTACTACTTATTTAGTACTTTGTTCTTATTTAATACTACTCAGGTTTTTCTAGCCCCATTCCAATTGAGTACATTTTATTTTAACGTAGTATATGTCACTAAAAAAAAAAAATTCCAAGAAAGAGCAAAAGTTACGCTGTTTGCATCCTTAATGGTTAGGTTTGTTGTTTATTTTTCATTCCGGTGCTGCTTTTCAGAATGTAATAACACATTAAAAAATTGCATTCGACTACTGATTTACAGGTCATGCTGACCGAATTCTCTGAGAATATGAGTGCAAAGAAATCTTCTAATTCTATTTCGCTCATTACCCGACTATGTTAAGATTAAAAGATACCTATATTCACAGATTATGTCAGGTTAGTCGACGAGTGTTACTAGTACAAGTAAATCCATTACTGAGTGCCACATGGTCGGGTCATTGTGTTGTATTAACCCTTTCTTCTAGAGTTCTCTTGTGGCAACGGTCTCTTAGTTAACGGAGTCGATTTCACAACAAAGCTGCATTCTTCTCTCTGAGCCGTCTTCTCCCGGTCGGGGGCCGAAAAGTTTTTGGTCGCGAAATGATGTATAGCCCGTTCGCTCTGGCGGTAATCTTGGGACGACGGTCGTGAGGCGATCATAATCAAGTTGTCTTCCTCTTTTTCTATCTCGGCCGCTGATCGCTACTTGGTTTGTTCGATGGTAAAATGAGAACTTCAGCAAAAGAGATTTTAAACTTATCTATTTTTTTAAACACGTCGACGTGTACATTTTTAACTTCAGCCAGTGGGGTCGCTCTATCAGCCCCCCCACCCCCACTGCGAGCAAATGCCCTGAGACACGAAATAACCACGTCTGATCTTTTCGGCGAGTAAAACTTAACTTCTCGAAAACACTTTCTAAATCTAACAATCCCACGTTCGGCTTGGCCAATCAAAATCGAGATCTCTGTTTTGTCTACTAGCTGACTCCAAGGTCGGCCTCAGAGGGTTTGAGTCAAATACACTGCCACTAAAAATTAATTGTCTGAAACTATTATTTAACAATTGGTGACAAAAACTATTCCTTCATCAGACGAGCTTACGGATATATCACGCTTAAACATTGATTCTCTCCGCTTACCGGTTAAGCAACGTTGAGCTTGGTTAGAACGCAATGAAGAAACATGTTTTAGTTTATTTATATATTATTTTCTATTTCAGTTAAAATATTTGTCTTGTTTTAAATATTTCGTCACATGTATGTCTATCCTTTTGTTTTTTATCCTGCAAATATTCGATTCAGTTTTAATTCCGATTTATATTTTTCTTTTCCCAACAAAGATCGGAAAACAATGGCATTATAAGAAACGCCAGGGATTATCTCAAGATTTATTTTCATTTCTTCTGAAAGAGAGAGAGAAAAAAAAAGAACATTATACCAAAATTAAATAAATTCAAACAAAAATCGAAATTATCTTACCCAGAATTGCGTCTATATCAAGGTTAAACACCGGTTCTCGTACGATCATCGAAGTTAAGCAACGTCGAGTCTGTCAAGTGCTTAGATGGGTAACCGCTTGCAGATACCATATATTGTAAGCTTGAATTTGTGGGTGGTGTAATAAACAACGGCTTGGAATTGGAAATCAGAAAACCGTGTTCCAATTCTAGTCGGGTTTATTATAATTGCTTACGGGCGAATAACATTGGAAAAGTTATTAATCCACATCTTCCCCCAGCTATTGGTTAAATTGTAAGACTTGTGTCAATAAATCATTATTTTCTTACAATTCAAAAATATTTTATAGCTTTTAATAACATGCAAAAGGTCGATAAGCCATAAAAAATCAAATCATTCATTTAATCAATATCCCACTAGGTTTTTAAGATTTTCTGATTTTCAGATTTCAAAAGCACGATATGCCAAAGATCGCCAAAGACAAGCGCGACAATTGAAAATTAGGAATAAATTTCGATCAAAACAATCCTATGTCTACATTCGTAAATTTGAAAAAATAATTATTGAATTAATATATAATCAATATATAATATATTGAATTATTTAGGAGCATTTCCATATAAATCGGAGAAAATAAATTAGATATAAAACCTGAAAATATGTTTGTTCCAAGCAGTTTTTCGAATGAAGAAGAAAAAAAAATCACTTGTATCATAAATGTTGAAATAAAATATTTAAAGAGTGTGTGTGTTAAATGAATTTGGCGACGTCAACAAGCGGAAGAAGATGGTTCTTATTCGAAACGAATAAGGTTACTGATCTCTAACTGGTAGTTAAAATTCGCTTACAGAGAAGACAGTTATGTTATGTAAATATCAAAAGTGATACCAAATATAGTATGATGCTTAACAAACTCGTCTGTCTTGCCACGCCGTCTTTTTTCAGGTTTGGTACCCAGGGAAACCTTCTAGGATTGTCAAGGCTTATTTTGAAATAATTGTTAAAATGTTAAGTCCTTTCAGGATGTCGGCTACCATGATTCTGTGCGTATTTCCCTAGCAGTTCAAATAGGTCTTTGTATCTTTTGTGTAATCTGTGAAATATACGTATATGTCAATCTGAATTTAGTTTGCTCGTTCTGATAATATTCTGAACGTAGATATTAAATTTCTTGTTCCACGGTATTTAGCACGGCTATACTATTCTCATCAGTATACTGACTGCCGTATTTCTTTTGCATTTAGATTCTTAGGCAAAAATCATCCAGCAGGTCGCTAATATGAGGTAACACTCATAAGAGAGAAAGAATATATATCTTCAAATATGGAATAAATATGTTAGAGAATATTTTCAAGACGAAATCTCCTCGACAAAAAGTAGAGTCCGTGAAAAAATGTCTTTCGTAATTTTATCAAACTGTAATAACACTGCAATACATAAAGGTTATGGAAATGTTGAATTTTTCTTTCAACAAGACGGCACACCGCCACACTAAGCAGAAAGACGTACAAGCTTATCTGAATGAGAATTTTCAAAGACACTGGCTAGGATGAAGAGATTCAGTCTAGTTTCCCACCACCACATTTAATTCCTGCAGACTTTTACCTGTGGGGATCAGTAAAGAATATTGTGCATCATAGAAATCTGACCACCTTTGGCGGCCCTCAGACAAAAACAAAAAATTGAAAATGCATGTACAGCAAACTCACTAGACACTTTAGGCATTTGTTGCCCAAGTAGTAGTTTTCCGTACTCATAAATGTCTGGAATCTAAAGGCCGCCATTTTGAGCATCTCTTGTGATTCTAGAGTCCAAAGGTAACTTGTATTAATCTCGTGATGTCTGAATAAATTTAGTATTACAATATCTATACAAGTTTTTTTTTCTTTTCCTGAAGTGTGTATACATTTTTGGCGGACTCTGTATACATGGAAGGACTAGTAATATTAGGCTGATGTAAGATCTACAATAGCGAGAATGAATTGAAAAAAACAAAAGGACCAATTGAGATTGTAATAGAGACGCTATCATCCTTAGACAATTCTGGTATAAACTAAATTTTTGGAATAATAAATAATCATTTACGTTTTAAATAAATGAGAAAAATTGCGCTGAATATTAACATAATTGTTTATTTGATGCATTTTTTTTTTGGATTGCACATGACCAGTTCTTATTTGCAAATAGAATTTTACAGGCGATCTTTTTAGAAAGCGATCTTTAAACTCTTTCCGTTACGCTCATAAATTTGCTTGTAAGCATATGAAAACGTTAAGATAGCAACAAATTTAACAAAAAGAAATATAATAAAATTCAATATATTAAACGATTTTATACCGAAACACGCGTCAACTGAAAAATCCCATCAATTTTTATGGCTGCAGCATAGGCGATGCAAAACATATATTTAGCTGTAAATGTTTAATGGAAATCGCTTTCGTTGTGTCATGTTACTTCAGGATGTGAGGGATTATGGTTCTCCACGGTTTCTTTTCTGATGTTGCTCACAGCAATATTTGCATTTTACCTACAATTCTTAACTTTGCGGTAACTTTTTCCCGCCGATATCTTGGCTTAAATTTGGCACATACGTCAAAGGTCAATCATTATCTCTCTTTGTTACATGTTACTTCAAGATGCTAACAGATACGGTTCTCCACAGTTTCTTTTCTGGTGTTGCTCATAGTAATATCATCACTTTCCACCCACCCTTTTTTGACTTTGGGATAACTTCCTCCCACTCATACGTTTGTTCAAATTTGTCACGGAAGTCCTTGGTCAACCATAATCTCTCTTGCTAATCCTCGTAATCTTCACTCCCTATAATCTTTTTCATTCATACCTCACAAATAATCCATCATGGGCATTTTAAAAGAAAGCATCTAGTTTGAATGGCTCTCAAGCCTTGTATTTTGTAATCATTAGTATGAAAAAAAAGTTAGCTACTACATTCATGTGTTTTCTTAGTCTTCAATGCGCCATATTTTATAATTTTATATCATTTTTATAAAGAATGTCTGATTGTTAGGAGCAGTTTCTTTGGGTTTATCTGTTATATTTCAAACATCCCCATTTTTCAATTGATACGTCCCTGTTATTCTGAACATTCTTATATAGTAATACATCCCAACATTTTTAATAATTTTTGTTTATTTAGCTACGAAAATTTTTCGATACCTATTACTGTATCAGATATTAGATATTACACATAAGCCCAGACTTCATTTTTCCTTTCTAATAGTTTTCGTGTTGCGCCAATTGGTTCGCAGTAAGATATTTAAAAAAAGAAAGGTTTTGTCTCTTCCGGTCAGGTTGATTAAGGATCTTTTCGTAGTCCTTTTCTTTATTTTATGTCCTTTGAATATTACTTTTTAGGAAAGATATTATTTTCACGTTGCTTTCTTCCTAGATTCCTCTTCTCTATTATCTGTGAATTTTCGGAATTCGATGCAGGAGATGGTGGGATGTGTTTTTTTCTTGCTTTCTACAACGGCTTTGAGTAGTGCATTGTACTAGACTAGCTCCCATCCAAAGATAACCTGGGTAGGAATCATCCCTTATCCTTGTGCATTAGGAGAAAAGAGAAATCTTCAGACTAGTCGGGAATTTCAACACATCTCTCTAGTTCCATTTCGGCACGTATAGCTTCTACGTTACCAGTAAAAATATCTATGTTTAAAAATGCATGGCCGTATAGCATTGATATCTCAAGTAGGGATTAATTTACCTAATTATTTGTAACTGCTTCTTTATCAAGTCTGTAATGTTATTGAATACATTAAATAATTTCTTCTGAACTGACATTTATTCTTACGCCCGCAACAAATTATGGTAATGGCAAAAGTCAAATAGACCATTTCCTTATGCATTCATTAACTGAATAGCATTAAATTTATTAAATACCATCAGGCGGCATTTAAGCTACCTCTTGCGAAGGCCTCTTGATCGGAGCTTTAGCTTGTTCAGGAGTTTGAGAGTCCCTAAGTCTTTGCATATTCTCAGCATTGGATGCTCTCCTGGCTGCTACTTGATCTAGGTTTTCATTTGAACAGGACTTTCTTTTCCTCGCCTCAGACTTGGTTCTTTTGGTTGCAGTCTGGTCTTCTGTTGGCGTAGATTTCTTTTTGTGCGGCATACTTCTGCGATAGGCAACAATAAACTACAGAAGAACTCAAAATTGATCGCTTCATTTAAGTATTGCATTAATATTTAAGCTTACCTTTTAAAAGTTCAACGATAATTCTCCTGTCACCACTTAATTTAAAGACAATTTCATGTGCGTAGGTCCGTACAAATAATTATTCTCATTTCATAGGAGTCTTTCGCTGGATTTCGCAATTAATTTCCATTATTCTCAAATTTATTTCCAAGTTATAAAAAATGTTATCATACTAAAAATTTTGTCGGAAAACATCACGTAAAAAAAAAACGCCAAAAACACTTGTAGTAATGAAAACTTGGGAATCCAAAATTTCTGTCACATGAGCTAATGAAAGTTAGAGTTGTGTCCCTTTAATTGAAAAAGTGTGACAAAGTGACACACTGACATTCGCATTTATTATATAGATTGCTTTTAAAACAATTTTTTCAGGAAAAGAGGAATATCAAGAAGACTATTATCGCACTTTCCTGCATTGATGAGGGTTTTTTTCTTCCTAACCTTTTGTTTGAAGTCGTGTGGAACGTCAACATCTTAATTATGTTAGTATTCTCTCATAGAGTGGCATGTGCTATCGATTTTTGCTGTTTCGGCTGTTGAATATCTTCAAGTTATGAATTATTTGTTATTTGATAAAGTTCTCTCTTTGTGATTCTAATAAAAACACTACAAACGGACATGATTAAAAAGAGCAACCAAGGAGAAAATACGGTAGGTGCTAATACGAAATTAGATTCAGAATATAAAGGAAATAGAAACACAGAATGAGCTAACCGGTTATAGATCTTCAATCATCAAGACTCAAACGTATGAATCCATCACCTCCTCACAGCTATAGGTTAAATAGTAAGAGTTGTCTCTGGAAATATGAATGTTATTCTAAAAAAAAAAAAATAATGCAATATCCACTCGCAATAAAAAAATCTTTTAAACCCAAATATGCTTCGGCTTTTAATAACTGATAATAGGTCGATAAAC